TCAGGATCACACTTCCAGACGTACCTTGCCGAAATGGGGCCGGCATCAGCAGGAGTACCTTCATGCTTGTCCCTGACTGTCGATGTCCCGCACCGGCCGCGTTCACCAGTAGCTGACGACGTCCAAGTGACTCACGGCTACGAACGACGAAAACAATGACCAACCGATCGGCTGTGGGTGGAAACAATCGCGAAAGCCGCTACGCGGTACGCTCACCGCTTGTCAAGGATGGTTCAGCACATCTGGAATTGCTCACGCGATGCGATTCCTCCTTTAATCTCGGACTACCAAGACAGCAGGGGCATCTAAGCTAATGACGAGCACAACCGATACACACGCTTCAATTTCAATCAACTACCACACTACCGGAGCTTAATTAATGTTTTAATGATGAACACAGATAATAGCCCGCGTGTACACCACAACAGTTACAGTCAGACGACAGAAATTGCAAAATACATACGTGTTTCACACTCGATGCCAGACTAGCAACCGCCAGTATGATAGTATCTGGCGCACGATAGACCAGTAACTGCCAGCGTGCCCACACGAAAAGCCACGCTTACCTTGACCCCGCATTAAACTAGCGGTAAACAAGAAGGGTATTAAAACCAGTCCGAAAATCTCCGGCACCCTAGCAGAACAATCGCCAGCGCCCCGCGCGTGTGCGTTACACGTTACATTGGCCGGCTTAGCGTGATTGGCGCCGTGCCTTCAACAGTGGACCGCCCCCCTAGGAAAGAATCGAGGACAGCTCTGCCACACAAAGATGCCAGATTCACAAACGCCAAGCCCCGCCCTCTGGTAACCGCTACTCCACAGCAGCTGTGCGTCCACACTTACCCGCCGTTCTTAGACGCCTTACATGCACCCGCTGTACCAGCCATGCGCGTGCATCAACACGAACGTTACCACCAGTCTCACGCCCCCTCCCTCATACCAGGCCAGCTAAGCAGCGTGCATCAACGTTACGCCCCCGGGGGTTGCAAGCGCCCTCTCATAAGTACCGCCCACGCTAGTCTAAGACAGCTCGTGCATCACACCTCTACCCAGTTGCCAGCCGCCCTCTTAGTACCGCTAGCTAAGCAGCCTGCCGTCACCACGTTACCGTTGTCAGGCCCGCCCTCTAGTACCCTAGCTAAGCAGCGTCATCACCCGTTACATGTTGCAGGCCCGCCCTCTACGTACCCTAGCTAAGCAGCGTGCATCACACGTTACGTGCAGCCCCCGCTCTAGTAACCTAGCTAACCACGTGCGGCTTGATCACACTTCCGGTTGCCAGGCGCCGCACTCCATAGTACCCTACTAAGGCAGCGTGCATCACACCTTACCGAGGTTGCGGCCCGCCCTCTAGTACACTAGCTAATGGCACGTGCAATACACTTTACGGCCGTTTGCAGAGCCGCGCGCCTGCTAGTACACTAGAGCTAAGAACAGACGTGAGCAATGCCACACACGTTAACGGTTGCAAGCGCCGTCTCATACGCCTAGCTAACACGTGCATCAACACAGTTACCGTTGCAGGCCCGCCCTCTCAGTACCACTACTAGAGCAGCGGCATCACACTTACCGTTGCAAGAGCCCGCCCTCAGTACCCTAGCTAAGCAGCGTGCATCACACGTTACGTTGCAAGCCAGCCCTGCTAGTACGCCGCTAGCTAAGCAAGCGTGCATCCACCGTCTATCAGCGGTTGCACGGCCCCGCACCCTACATACGTACCCCCACTAGCTAAGCACATGCATCACACGTTACCGGTTGCAGGCCCGAGCCCCTAGTACCTACTAACAGCGTGCATCACACACGTTACCCCGCCGTTGCAGGCCCGCCCTCCTAATTAACCTAGCTAAGCAGCGGCGCTCACCACGTTACCCACGTTGCAGGCCGCCTCACATAGTACCCCTAGCATAACAGCGCGCGTCCACACGTTACCACCAGTTGCACAGGCCCGCACCTCCAGTAACCTGGCTAAGCAAGCGTGCATCCAGACGTTCGTTGCAGGCCGGCCTCTAGTACCCTATGCTCAAGCACGTGCATCCACCACGAACAAGCGACGCCAACGGACGTTCGTTGCACAAGCACCGCTCTCCATAGCTAACACCAATAAGCCCTGAAAAGCTAAGCAGTCCGTGGCGTTGTATGTTACCGTTGCAAGGCCAGCATCAGCGGAGACGTTTCCTCGTGCTTGTTTTTTCACGTCGACACATGGCGCCTGCGCTGACAGCAAGCAGCTCCACGAAGCGGTAGTGGCCCTTGTCTGCGGCGATCGTGAGCGCGGTGTCGCGTGACGACGGCACGGGCGCGGCGTTCACGTCCGCTCCCTTGTCCAGCAGCACGCGGCCCACCTCCACGTAGCCGCCCGACGCTGCCTCCATGAGCGGCGTCAGCCCCGTCTGTGTCGCAGCGACGAATGACAAGAGAGCATCCGGACGTTAGAGCGATCGTCGACGACAATTGTGGTTAGAAACTTTTTTTTTGCCGGGCAGAGGTTTTACTAGAGAAAACGGTAGGCAGCTAATTTCCTCATTCGCAGACAGAATCTTTGGTGCTGTTACTATGGGATTGTTTTAAGGGGTCTAATGGGGAGTTTTTGGCAAGTATTTGCTGCCAGCGTTGAGAGCAGGCAGCAAACTGATCCTAGCAGTCAGCAAAACTGCTGCTTGCTGCCCTTACCTTCGAACCCTGACCAATTCTGCGTTACCAATAGTGCATTTCAAAATGAGGCTTCATTTCATTGGCCATCGTTGCCCACTACGACATACTGTGCGGGGTAATAACGTTGCACAATCCATCAGATACCCTCAACGACGCATTCTACGATTCGCAACGAGTCGTATCGCTGCCACACGAAACCGGCGAGAAACGAGAAAAATGACGAGAAACGAGAACGCAGTGTGTTACCTTCGCCCGGTGTTCGACGTTGGCCCTGCGATCCACGAGCAGGCTGACGACCTCGTGGCGACCTTGGAAGCAGGCGAGGGTCAGGGCCGTGTTGCGGTTGGTTTCGATCTGCGCGTTGATGTCCGAGCCCATGTCCAGCAGCAGCTTGACCGCCGCTGTGTGCCCGTTCATCGCAGCCAACATGAGAGGTGATATGCCTAGCTTACTGCCAGTCCTACACAACCCAGCAACAACAGTCAGTGATATCAGATAAAATCAGTCATGGATGACAAGAGGGTCATCAGGGTCAAAAGGTACATCAAGGGAAAGGGAAAAGAAGAAAGAATGAGATAGTGATAGAGTGATAGAGTGAGAGAGAGAGAGAGACAGAAAGTGAGGTAGTGAGAAATACATTATATCAGACTTATTATATTATACTATATTATATTTATTACTCCCGCTACTCCGGTATATTATACAGGAGAATTATCAACTACGATTCTTTCCACCCTCACACCCAAGTTCCACACAGTCCTACTACAGAGCTAGTGAGCGTAACCGCGGCAACCCGCGCGTCCTCCGCCGCTCCCCCCGACCCCGCCCGCATGCGCGCACCTTGAGTTGATCTCGGCAGCATGCTGCAGCAGCAGCTTGATGATGTTGACGTAGCCGCCGGACGCGGCGAGGCGGTTCGAGTTGCCTGGCCTGGCTTAGATTACGAGGCAGGGACGAGAAGTCGATCCCGTAATTGCAATAGCTCATTGTCTCGAGCTATGTCAAAGGCGAGCTAAAACCTATGTATCTATGCTCCTGGTCCGACAGCATTCTACTAGCTCTTTATCCTGTTACTGATGAAGGACTCTTACATTGCATGTGGTTAGGACGCAGCACAGTTCGGTGACGCAGCTGAATCAGTTGCACTGTTGGTGTATTATTAACCGGAAGGTAGGTGGGGTGGGGGTGGAGGTCCTTCGGGCATCCTTGGTGCTGGCCTACGAGGTGTACTAGAGGGTTGGGCTCCCCGCGAGGAAGCAGCGTTTATTCTATAAAGAGTACATTCTACAGTTTGGAAGATTAGAGGATTGGGGAAATATTCGTAACATTTGATAATGGATGCATAAAGGAAAACAATGAATGTGATCATGGTTTTTTAAATATTAATATCATTTGGTTTATTAACATGGGTCATTAGGACCTCTTGAGTGAGATTGGGGACCTATATTGAAGGGTTACATGTCATCGGGTAGGACTTGCGTATGTCGTTCCCTATGATTTCATAATTTCTAGTAGTCTGTGTCAGCTGGACGTGTGTGGCTATGGTAGTAGAGGTCCGAACATTCAGTTTTTACTATTGCCTGGCTAATCGTTTTTGAGACTTCCTCCATACTGTTTTCGGCGAACGTGCATGGTCCTTAAGCATTTCTTTTTTGCTATGGATCTTTCTGTGTCCCCTCGGAAGCATCCATGCGTTTAACAATTCCAAACGATAGTTTGTAGTGCCGGGTGAAAAACTACCAGACATACAGAACTGCACCACCAGGTCATCACCCTTGACGGGTCATACCTAGCCACGGCGTATGAGCGATTTTTTCCACGCTGGCTGGAAGCGTACGCACCTTTTGTCTTAATGAAGGCAAGCTGGCCATCTAATTTCTCCTCCTGCGACTTACGTTTGGGACGGTGAAGGAGCGAGCTCCGTCCAAAATATCTTCCACATAATCAACCTTGATGTTAGTATTGGATAAGGGAATGTACCTACTAACTACTATGCTTCCTAACTATAGATAACATTTGTATGCGACTTGCTTCAACTGTTCAAGTAAAACACGCATGCGATGTGGTTGCGATTAAATACCTCGCTATGCAGAGCGTATAACTGATTAGTTGTGTCATTTATACAATCAGAACCGTGTTGTTCTATATCAACAGCTTACTGTCCAACGATCGATAGGTAGACTGGTTCGTGGCCCCATTGTTTAACAAATGTTTGTACGGGCATAGGTCTAGCGTGCTTAGAGCGTGCTAGCCGTCTACTTGTACTAGCGCGTCTAACAGGGGAAACTTGTTGATGGCAATCTACTACATAAATGGGGGAATCTGTCTGTCACTCTGTCCGTCTATCTTCTGCGAGACCCCCCAACACCATAATTAATATATTCTGAATGCAGCATGCATGTGACGACCATGTAGCTACCATGCTGTGAATCAGCATGATGTGACGACCCAGCTAGTGAGTTATATAGCTCTTTGGATCTTGGTTGAGAGAAGCTGCCGCGGGAAGACTAAGTAAAATCGATTGGGAGAATGGGAAATTGGCGGTGAGGAACGGGGAAAATAACTAGTCCACAGGACTAACGGCTATGGGGCATTTAAATAGTCCCTGCTTATTTTTTACTAGTCTCGACTGAACGGACTAGGCGTTAGTGCCGAACTCTGCGGCGGGCGAATCCAACCCACCGTCTAATCCATTCCATCCATCAATCACCAAAGTTTGGCGTCCGTTCATCCCCCACCCGTCTATCCATCCATACCATCAATCCAACCCACCCGTCGGCCATCCACCCGTCATCGCATCTCATACCTCATCCACCCACGGCTCGTCCAATCTATCTATCGCAAACATGCATCCAACAATGCTATACGATGAAAGTCTTTGTTGGTTATCACACATACCATTGCTTCCTTAAGGCCTAAAAAAAAATAAATGATGTGTTTCCGAGAGACTGGTCTTGGAAAAATTAGGTAGTTTAGTTAAGGTTTTTTAAATAAAAAAATCTGAAAATGTCAAGTGTTCTCAGAGGTGAGGTGATTACCATATTCTAGAAGTTTATGATTTATTTTTTTTATTAATAATTGAATTGATTTTTTTTTTAATTTTTAATTTTTAATTATTTTTTTTTTTTTTAAAAATGGTCACCCTAATTGCTAGGTAGGGTGCGGGTTCTCCGGAAACATCTTTTTTTTAGCCTTACTACAGTTCGCTCTCATTAATTTAGCTTTCTTTTGCCACTAACACACACTACGGTGCACTCAAGTCTGCGCCAAACAATTATCCATTAACACGTAATCAGCACGTTTCAAGCTTTCGTTAATCGAGTGAAGCAGAGCGTTGAGTAAATAATGTAATGTACCCCCCGAACACCATCCAATCACTCCCTCACCCCCCCCCCACCGGCCCCCGCTAAACAACGGACAACACGGCGATTCCACCCTGTCGTAATGTCACCGTCGGTGCATATCCCGACGCGGCGCGCAATACGCTCGATAACAACCTTGCCTCGAGGGCAACCCGACTTAAACAACAGAGCACGATCGTCGCACGGAAACTTTTCGCGCCGGCAAACTCCGTCGCACAGCACGTCTCGAGGAATGCCCTGCGAGAACGAAAACCCTGAAAAGAGAGCCGATATAACTATACTCCTAAAGATATAGAGGCCGATATAAGAAACACTGCTTGTGTAAGAGAGCGCACACAGTACCTGGGCTAACTCGTACAGTAAACCGGCAAAGAACAGGGCAAGGGACAGGAGCTTCTCTCCTTCCTGCGGTCGTCTCCTGAACGTTCTCCCTCCCTCTAGCAGCTCTGCGCACGTTCCGCGTCTCCCTCGTGGCAATGCATCAATCAACGATCGACTGCGGAACGTACCGCGGGAACGGCAATTCAGTAGCGGAACGCGGCGGCGATTAGATGAACACGCAATTCTAAAAACGCCCGCAAAACAATCCACAGAGTCCAACGACTGACTACGGAACGGCAATCAGTACACGAAACACGGCAGAACGATTAGCAGGAACAACGCTGTTTCTAAAATCAGGGCAAACAATCCCACAACTGACTAGCGAAACGGCGATCGTACGGAACGCGGCAAACGATTAGATGAACAACGCAGTCTAATCCGTCAAACCACCAACGGACCGACTATGGGAACGGCAATCAGTACAGAAACACAGTGGCATTCAGAGAACAACGCGGCTCTAATACCGTGAACAACCGCGACGTCTGCCCCCCACCGCTCACACGTGCACGCCAGGGCAGGATTGCGTGCATCGTCATAGCATCGGAAAGGCTGTATCGTGATAGCTATACGTACGCAAACGACGCTGTATCGTGATACTATACTGTACCGAAACGATGCTGTAATCGTGATACTATACTGTACCGCAAAACGATGCTGTAGTCGTGATACTGTAGCTGTACCCGCAAAACGATGCTGTATCTGATAACTGTATGTACGCAAACGATGCTGTATCGTGATACTATATCTGTACCGCAAAACGATGCGTATGTGATACTAATACTGTACCGGCAAAACGGATGCTGTATAGTGATACTATACTGTACCGCCAAACGATGCCTGTATCGTGATACTATACTGTACCGGCAAAACCGATGCTGTATCGTGATACTATCACTGTACGCAAAAACGATGCTGTATCGTGAGTACTCTACTGTAACCGAACGCAAAACCGATCTGGTATCGTGATAACTATAACCTGTACCGCAAAACCGATGCTGTAATCGTGATACTATAACTGTACCCGCAAAACGATGCTGGTATCGGTGATACTAATACTGTCCAGCAAACGATGCTGTATCGTGATACCTAACGTAACTGTAACCGCAAAACGATGCTGTAATCGTGATACTAATACTGTACCGCAAAACGATACTGTATCGTGATACTATACTGGACCGC